CCAGGGCTGGAGGCTGATGTTGGGAGGGGGAGGGGGGAGATCCAGGTGAGTTTGGTCATCGCAGTTAAGGCCTATTGGGTGCCTGCAGGGCCCTCACACAAATAGTGATGACACAATTGTTCTTGACTAATATTTGCTCAACAAGAGGCCCTTCCCTCCATCCATTCTTTTGGTTAAAACCCAAAGAAGATTTTTTTAATGAAGGATTATGCTGTTTGTTCAGTAATGAAATTAAAAATCCATGTCTCCAGAATCCAGAAGATTCCGTCTAAAAAGTGTGACACTGTCTTTTATTCAACTCTAGCTTTTGCACTTAGATACACATCTAGATTTTTTCATAAAAGCTTTTTCTTCACACATTTTCATAGTAATTTTCAAGTAAATTCTGTACTTCAAATAAAGTTTTTATTTGAAGTATTTTTATTATAAAAAAAAATATTTCGGAACAGGAAAGGTTTTTGTAATGTGTAAGAAAGAAACTCAGTTGTCTGGTCACTCTCACCAAATAACACACACGTGAAAAGGCCCACATGGTTCTGTCAAACCAAGGGAGAAGTGAAATTTGCATTTGGCGGCCATACCACGTTTCCCTCTAACCAGCACCCTTAGTGATGCCTTTCATCAGCGCAGACCCCGTGCTGTGGCTTGCAGGACCTGACCGCGAGTTCAGAGTGGGTGTAGGGAGAACTCTGCGTCATCGGCATTCAGGTCAGTAACACAGTTTATTTGTGCAACTTGTACAAGGACCCATGGTTCACAAGAACTAATGATCACCAGTAGCACTGGAGGACTCCCATCATCACACCTTCTTAGACTAACCGACCCTCTGACAGCTCCCAGTATTTATGCTGCCTGGCTGAAGGATGAGGAGTACAACGTACAGAGATCCTGCGCCTTTCTCTGTTGGAAATAACCTCTACATCAGAAGAACAAAGAGACTAATCTAGTCCCTCCCTTAAACCACCCTATTTTTCTTGCCCATCAGCTTCTTTCTTACTCCTCCATCCTACAAACAATAGATCATAAAAAGTGAGGAAGGCAAGAGCAACTAGATTCCCAACTTATTTGCCAGTACAGTTGCAGAGGGTGCCAGCAGCAAGCCAGAGGTATTAGTGAAATGTCCATCCATGCACCTAAAACCAAGTTTGCACCAAGAAGCACTTTTCAGTTAGAGTAATTATTCTGTCAACTTCTAACATGTCTAGCGAGCCCGAATGGAGGCAGCATTAAGTATTCCATTGCCCCTCAGAGCAGCTGGGCTTGTGCTCAGTATCAACTAACTACAGCTTGCTTTTCCTAGGCCTTGCACAGGGCGCTGCTGCTGCAGATTTCACAAGGCCTCAGGCCGCTTAAAAATAAGCCCCTGCTGATACCAGCATTGAGCTGTTGTTCTGGCCTGTACCAAGCAGCTGTGGCAGAAACCAGGCTGGTATGAGAAGCAAGCAAAAGACAGGAGGAAGGAAGAGGAAGAGCAAAAAAAACATGTAGCACATCATAGATATAATACTATGTGTCCTTATCTACACATGGCAATGGCTTAATTTCATTGATAGCCTTCTGATAAGCTAACCACAATGAGATCTTTCAATCCCTATTGCCAACACCATCAAAAGCATGTCTTATAAAGCGTTAAGGAGCCATTGGCTCTTAAGGCTGACGCAAAACGATTTGTTTGCACATGTTCAACTTTACTGAATTTATAGGCTACATTTTAAAAGAATGACAAAATCTTTGCAGGGTAAAATATGGTACGCGCTGCACTTAAAGAAAACAGATGGCTGTTGTGTTTTCTGTTCTGACCTGCTTTGGATATACCTGTTGAATTTCAGCAGTATTTACAAGCCCTACTCATTGGTCAAGATCCTATACTGCCTGGCACTGTTTGGACATCAACTAGAAAGATTACATCTTGCCCAAAGAACAAATAAAAAGTGTATACAGAGAGAACGCTGCAAAGGAAGTAGAAAAGACAATATGCTTTTGTAAACCTCTCAGTTACACCATAGGCTTTCTAAGTTTATATTTTAGTCTATGTTAATCCAAAAAGACATGTCAGAGAACAAATGAAAGGAAAAAAAAAAGGAAATAGTAATGGGACAGAGTCTGTAGAAGTAATTTTCACCTCAACAGTTGAGTGTGACAGTGAAACAAGACCTGGTCTACCTGGAGACTTTGTCAACAGAAGTACATCTTCTTGCTGCATTTGCCATAATGCAGCTTTTTATTAGTCACCAGACAGTCAAAGAAGGGCTGTATCCCTGGCTGTCACTCTCCTGACACAGAACTCAGGTTCATGTTTCCACCTGCAGGTGCAAGCACAATCCTCCTTCCTCAGCACTTCACACCTAAATCTTGGGCAAGTTTAGTCCCAAAATGATGACCACCCATTGGTGTTTCCTATCATTTAAAAAGCTTTAAAAATATCAAAATTTATATTCTTCCCTTCAAGTTTAAAAAAAAAAAGGAAAGAAAAAGTTAAGTATGTATTTCAGACATTCTTTGCACAACATTATTTTCAGTCCATATGTTGTATCCCATGGTTAACATCTTCAGCAAAAATCTATTTAAAAAACAGGTCTTTGAAGCAGTTTCTGATGACTCTTACAGTTCTCAGCCCATGTGTGAGAGACACTTTCTGCATTAGTGGATACATGTATAATTTGTGTAAGGAGATGAGATTAGATTATCAAACAGTATAGCAAGACAAATAACTGTGATTAAGTGGTAATTCAGCCCAAAAGGACAACATTCGTAAGAGTCTTACGTAAAATATACTAACATTCATAAGAGTCTTAAGTAAAATATACTAACATACTAATTGAATATACATGAAATAAAACAAAACCAGAAGATAAAAGGGACATCCACTACCTCTCACAATTCTTTACTAATTATTCTTCCATTTATTTTCTGGCCTTACACTTACTGACACTATGATGAAAAAAAAATATTTGTATTTTAAACAGTTCCACAGTAAGGAATCTAGTACCTGGAAATTCCAGAATTCTTCAACTAGATAACCCTTAACAGCTTGGAAACTGAAAGAAGATTGAAATAAATTGAAATTGAAAATTGAATTGAAAATTGAAATTGAAAATTCAATTGAAAATTGAATTGAAAATTGAAAGAATTGAAAGAAATTGAAAGAAGATTATATCCATGCTGTCTCAGGTAAGTCACCTCACATACTACAGGGAGTCATCAAGGTCAGTCATTTCTCTGGCTCATGCAGCAAATCAAACACACAAAGCCTTACACAGTGTGTAAGAAATTTACCCACATATCAAAACCTCCAACAAATGGCTTGTAATAGAAATAAAGTACCAAAGAGGACAAACAAGATATAATATTCATGTTTAGCCTGTTTCTCAATTATTCAGGTTGCTTGTCCGTTGCCACACTGAACCGAATGGGGACTTGCTTAGGTGTGGAGTTGAGTTGGTCCCTCTGCATTATGTGGTATCTGGAAGTGAGCAGGGCTTCTGAGACCAACATTTTCCACAGTATGGGTTAGAGCTTCACTGGGAGTCACAATATGATCCAGGGGATATGCACCGCTCAGACTGCTGCACACATCCCTGGGCCAGCAGCAGCAGATTTTCTCCCTCAAGGGGTAAGAACAAATACTACTTTTTTCATGCCCTCTCAAAACTATAGCTGTAGAAGGTTTGTTTCTTGAAGAAAAGCTGGAGATGCATATAAATGCTTTACACACCTAAATTCTCTATTGCTGCACCTGAGCAAGTGCACAGATTAACACCCTTCTGCAGAGAACACCTTCACTCCAGCTTTCTAAAGGTAGTCCCTGTATTCCCCTGATGTCCGAACATCCTTAGTGAAAGGAAGTAATCCTACTATGTGCCTAACGACAAAAGTCATAGTGGCATCTGTTATGATATGGAAAAAAATACAAAGTACAAACTGTTCCAAAGTACAAACTGTTCCAAAGAAATACAACAGAGAAGTTATTAACTTTAGAGTACTATTGAACTCATGGCAAATACCCACCTTTATTGTATTTTTAACTAATACCACCTGTGAACACAAATACCAGCTATACTGCAACTGAAGATAGTATCTTCAACAAACAGAATGAACATAATGTGGATAGACTATCAGGGAAAGTCAGATAGGGGCAATGTCCTTTAACCAGCCAATTGAAATAGCTGGAGAAAGCACACAGACTTTGGGCATGCGTATTTGTCTGAAGGAGGACATATTTTACAAAAGGCTTATCTAGGCTTTCTAACTAGACTACAATCCTGGAAGAGACTAACTCTAATTTCAAACTGTAGCTACCTACATCCTTCATCCAGCTCCTCTTGAACCCTTTTTTTTCTATTTCCTTTGTCATGGTTTAACCTCGGCTAAGACTTATGTACCACACTGCTGCTCACTGTGGAAGAGGAAAATTGGAGGAAAAGACCAAGAAGCTCACGGATTGAAATAAGAACAAATTAATAATTGAAAATAAATGAATAAAATAGTTATATTAATAATACTAACAATACTACTAATAATAAGTAATTAAAATAATAGAAAACAGAACATATGATACAATTGCTCACCACCTACTGAACAACACACAGCCAGATCCCAGACCAGCGAGAGTGAGAGCCAGAGAGAGACTAAGAGACAGAGCCTGACAGCAATCACAGCAGAATCCAAGCGAGCCCCACGAGCAAGAGAACAACTGAGAAAGGCAATTGACACACGACCTAATGAATGAGCTAAATGAGCAACCTATGGCTCCCCAGCCCATCCCCAGCTTATATACTGAGCATGCCGTGCGAAGGAATGAAATACTCCTTTGGTTAGTTTGGGTTAGCTGTCTGAATTGGGAACACATTGCTGTGTCAGAAGCTGAAAAAGTCCTGCTTAGCACCAACTACAAAACACCAGTGTTATCAGCACTCTTCTCAGGGCAGATCCAAAACGCAGCCTCACATGGCTAATGTGAAGAAAGTTAACTCTGTCCTGACTGAAACCAGCACATCCTTCTAAAAAGAGTCTGATCTCAGTGTTGCAAACTTTTTGGGACATAGTATTTTCATGAAAGCCATTCGAAATTTAACATGACAGAGAGGATAGAGAAATGGATTCAAAGAGGAATTGATCCACAAAAGCCAAAAAGTGATTTCATACAAGGAGTTATGGATGCACTTTCCTTGGCAGGCCCCACGAATAATCATCAGTAAAGTGTAAGGGGCCCAGCAAATGGCAAAGGCACACACAATTATGGCAAGTGACTTGGCTATTTTCTTGTCTTGCTGCAGCTTTGACCTAGCTCTTGCACAGAAAGAAAAAGATAAGTCATTTTCTGGGGTTACAGAATTGCCTCTGAATGGAGACAAGCTCTCAGTTACCAAAGACTCTTTCTTTGGCCTTGTGGAGGAAGAAACACTGTCCTCTGCTTCCGATGGAGGTGAAGATGATCCTGGCCTTGGCAAGAAGCAAAATCTCCAGGACAGGCTGCCGCTCCTCGGGGGCTCAGATTTTAGCCCTGCACGCTGCCACGCCGCTGGCGCCTCTGGATGTTGTAGAAGATGTGCACGTTGAAGTAGGTCACCGAGAGCAGCGGCACGAAGAACTCCAGGGTGGATGCACACAGGAGGAAGTACCAGTTGTTGAAGAACTCGGCGTAGCACTGATCTGCCGCTACGACGCTGCAGCCGGCCACGTGCTCCCAGAAGAGGATTGCCGGACAGTAGAGGAGGAAGGCAAAGACCCAGATGGCCACCATCTTGATGCCAGGGTTGGACCTTATTGCCTGCTGGGCTCTGTAAGACACCTGCAAGGGGCAAAAAGAAAAAGGTCACACCTGTAGACACACGTTTTGGACTTAGCAGAGTGCTTGGTAATTTAGTGCTGTAGCTACACGGATCAGGTGAAGCTCACCCAAATAGGTTTAATTCATTGAAGTTGACATAACGTAAGGGGGGTCTCTCCACAGGTTAATGTAACTGCGCGAGGGTCCTGGTCTGGGTGATGAATAAAGATCATCCATCAGTACCTAGCAATTTGGTATGCCTTTACTGAGATATCTGTGGTCTGAAGTGCCAGTGGATTAATTAGCATTTTATAGTTGTTCAGAGCATGAGTCCCATTCACTGACCACTGCATAGATTTTACCACATTTTACATGCAAAGAGGGCTATGTGCATCACAGCGCGTAGTCACACAAAATCACACAAGATCTGTCATGTATATTTAACACTCACCTTTAAGCAAATTATTTATTGCACGCTTCCTGAGGAGGTAGGAGTAGATTCCAACTCTGCAAGGCAGCTTTTAGCTGATAAACCCACAAAACCCTCCCTTTTCCTCCCTTTCCCCCCCACTCTGGGGCCAATACATATTTTCCACTCTACAGCGCAGAACAAAGAGAGAGGTATCTCACAGCTCACACCCTGCTCCATCCCTTTCACAGGAGGACTGTGAATGTGTAGTTCTGGGAGCTTAGATATTCAATTGAATAAAAAAGAAGTTATGCATTAATGTCAATAAAGACTATCATACAAATGTCTATAGGTCTTAATTACATTTGGGCAGTGGCCTTAATTTTGCACTCTGTACATGCCGAGTCTTTGGCTTTCCAGTGTAATGTTTCTCATGTGCAAAATGTTTTGGTGTTTGATTTTCCAGATTCCAGCCACATCTCAGGCTTAGACATCCTCCACGGTGTCCTTCACCTCACTGCTCTAGCCCCACTGCCTTTTCCTCCCATGCCCGATTTTAAGTCCAAACCCAAACCCAGTCATTTCAAATTTCCTCTTTCCTTGCCTCCTCTTTACCAGCCTCCTGCCTTACCCTTCTCAGCCCTCAGCCTGCTTTCCCTCAAGCAGTAGCACAACAGCAAACTGCCGCAGAAATTGTGAGAAAAGCCCTGTTTGACCGGCTCCGGGCTGGAGCACCATCAGTGCAGGATATTCAATGCAACTCGCTGCAAATATCTAATAACCTCCACATGCCAGACCATTTTTGAGGGTTATCATCTCGATTAAATCTGGAGCTATACTCACCAACATGGTAAAGGATGGTCAGTATAATCCACCAATGATCTTGCATCAAAATCAGAGAAGCTATAAACAGGGTACTTACAGCTTTAGTAACTGACAGGAAACGGTCGTAGCTGATAAGGACAATGTTAAATACTGAAGCCGTGCACAGGAGGTAGTCCATAATTAGCCAGAGCTTGCAGACACCTCTTCCCAAGTGCCATTTCCCCGTCAGGCTGTAAGGGATGTAGAGAGGCATGCAGAACGCACCTATGGAAAGCAACGACAGAGACACCACGTGATTCGTACGAGTTGCAAACAGTACTCCTGGAAGCAGAGAGAGACACTATTCTGGGGTTTGGCTAAAAAAAAAAAATCTGTAAATGTAATTTATACACAGAATATGTAAGAGTAATGTATATTTATACACAGAATGTATAAATGTAATTTATACTCAGAAATTCTTACGTTCTCAGGAAATCTGATGGTGACTGTCTACATATTAGATCTTAGTGTATTTGGGTGTGCTGATTGCTGGGAATAAGCGCAGGACAGATCAGTAAAGAAGGATCTGCTGAAGAAGAAAACTGCAGTCTAACCAATTTATAGTTTTTAAAGGCATTTAATCAGTGCTGCAGCATATGCACTGTGGTTGCACTCTGATGTGTAACCTCATCGCCGTATATCCTCTAGTCTTTTATCTGTGTTTTCCCCCAAGCACATCTACAGAGGTTGCTAATGTCAGTTATTAATGTAAGATTGGTTAGCATTTGTAAGCTAGAGACAATATATTGTGGTATCTAGAAACCTCTTCTACCAAAGCAGAGCAGACACAGCAGGGGTTTGAAACCTTTTCCCACTTTTAAGAGGTGTTTTAACCTCATGCTAGTTCTCCAGCTGAGATTAACTCCAGAACTATCTTCTGGTTTGTTAAATTCGGTTTTTTCTCCAAAAGGCCTTCCACTGAAGTACTTTTGTAAGAAAGTCATGTTTGTGATTTTATTTTTAAGCCAGCCACTTCCTCATTTTACCACTATTATTCTTTCAAAAGTATGGTGCAAGACCTGATGCAACATTCCTGAAAACACTGATCCACTGGAGACCAATATAAAACTATATGCGGCTTCAGGATCCATTTTAATCAGATTATTCTTTTTCAATATGTCCATCTTAGATCTTAGAAGTTACTCAACATATCCAGGCTGATGTGGCCCACTGACAATAATCCTCTGGGCAATGAGCTGACAAACTTATCAACAGGAAAACGCTCATAGCGCTTTCAGTACTGATGGCTTTTTTTCACATATGCCTTAAATACAAGCAGTACCACTTTTGTACAAAATACTCATTTTTCAGAGTTG